GGAATAATGAAAGAAAGTTTATGCAGCATCAGTGTTTTATAAAATGTTATAAAGCTATACGCGCGCACGCTGTTTGGTGACAACATGGCGCCCATGCGCCAAGTTGGCCAAACTCTCTCTATCTATGGCTCTGTATACAGTCAATAAAGTGCGCCCTCTCTAATGAGATTAGTTTTTGTACTTCGCATCTCGCACAATGCAGTCGTTCGGTTAGGCTGAAATATGTTTGTTTAAGTGTCAAAATCTCAGTCAGAATCAGTTTTTTAACAAAGTTGAAATAATTCCTATGAAATATTATATTTCACAAGTGTCAATACTAGCAACGGAAAATATCATGTAGGCTGTTTTTATGTGTGATAACAGAACCTAAATCGAGGTAAGGCTAGGCCTAACCTAGCAGCGTTGGATAGGCTAATGTTTTCGGCGCCTACGATATTTCTTCTCACGACCTATCGCAAAATCAAGCATGAAAAATTCATCCGCATTTATTTTTTGTGTGGAACACAAAAAAAATCAAATTTCAGTCTTATTTTACATTTTTTCATTCTTAGGAATGTCTAAATTCAGTTAAACTAGCAATTCCGTATTATATTTATAAATCTTTATAACATTATACAAAAATTAGATTTTTCTTAAAGACTGAAATTTTGCCGGGAATGGGGCTTTAACATTTTAATGACTACTGCATTGCATTTCATGTTAAATAGTGCAATATTATTGCTTTCAAGTTCTAGCCTTGTTAAATTTTTATATTAAGTGTTCATGAATTTCTGAAAATAAAATATGAGTAACCTTTGTCTTATTGATACTCTACTTTATTCAACATCAAACTCTCCAGTGTGACAGTGGGCCATGGACTCCTGTTATTTGAGAGAATTCTTTGGGCTCTTTAATATTTGTTATTAATAACTGGTAAATACCAAAATGTCATGGCTATATTGCTATACCATGGCTGCTGAAGAAAATAAACTTTAAACCATAGGTGATTTGGTATTGGATATTTTTAACTAGAATACACTAAATATCAATCAGTGTGGACAACATATAAACATTTACATGATTTTTATTGTTCAAATACTGTATAAAACATTTATTTCATACTAAGTTACATACAGTACATGGAATTTTTAAAAAGCCTGTAGAAGAGAGACGCTGCATGTTTCTGATATTTTAGGGGATGACACAAATGCCCAAACCAATACTGATCTCCAGTATGAGAATAATAAAATATCATTTCAACTTGGGCAAATTGATGGTGAATGCAACAGCTATTTCAGATAGGTAATGCACATCCACTTAAAACAGTAATTCAAAAGCCCAAAATATATTTCAAAATTAGAAAACTAATAAAATGTAAACAACCATTCATCCAATCGGTCGTACCTCTGAACCTGAGTATAAGCATATGCCCCCTCTGGGATAACTGAAGTACATCAAAGACACATAACAAGTGTGTTTATGAAAATTAACTCATTTTAAATAGAGCGCCTTTAACAAAAATAGGAGTCAAATACATGTTTCCAATTTAATGGAAAAGAAAAATCTACACTACTTGAAAGTAGTCTTCCAAGGAGGGAGGTTCAAGTTCGAAGTAGGCTGATGTACTGTTCTTGTACACACGTGTGTGCATTTGTTAACAATCCTGAGACAATGTACATCTTCCCACAAGCGCTCAGGTGCACCTTCTGAGACTTTTTGTAGTCGGTGAACTTGAAGAGGTTTATGATTTCCCCAAACAACAATTCAACGATAATGCGAACTTTGGACATCGCCGCATTAAACGCCTCTTGCTCTTGAATGATTCGCACTGAAGGAAAAGGTGTTTGTAGATGTACCACCACTGTTTCAGTGCGGAAGAAAAGCTCTTACAGCGCCTTTCCTTATTTATGTTGGAACAAAGCCTCTGGGTGACGTCATCGTTTGTTATTGTTATCGAAATCGGCAAGCGAATAAAGATTCAAGTAAAAGAAAAATCAGGTAACTAAGTACAGTAGATATGTATTTACCTTAAATCATTCTGCAGTTGGACACTGTGACGACTCCACTGGGTTCAACCTTGTATCCATTTTTTCAAATTATCTGTAATTAGTAAGATATTTAGTTACGGCTGTAATAATATGTTATAATTTACAGATTTGAAGCAAAAGAGAGAGAAACTGATAGAAGAAATTGAAGATGGGCTTCCTTTAAGCTTCTACCAAGGAGATGACAAAAAATCTATTGAGAAAGAAATCAAAAAGATAATAAAGGCAAAGGAAGAAATGTCTAAAATTGTATGTATTATTAAGAAATTGTATGTATTGACAAAATAAAAATAGGAAAACCTATTTTAATTTGATTAAACACTTTTTTGTGAAACTATGCAGTCTGTTATAACGTATTGATTGAAACAGTATATTAACAACTCATTATAACAGACTGCATAGTTTCACAAAAAAAGTGTTTAATCAAATTAAAATAGGAAAACCTATTTTAATTTGATTAAACACTTTTTTGTGAAACTATGTTATAATGAGTTGTTAATATACTGTTTCAATCAATACATTTATATTTTTCAATAGGACAAACTTCTAGATAATGACTTGCCATTTGGCACAGGCCCTATCGTTAATGCACTGGATGAATTTCTGCAACGTAACAAAATTCAACGGCAACAATATCATGGAAAGGCTTTCAATGGCAACCATGTGCATAAAGCACTACAGGTACAGTTGTTTTAATTTAATTGTATTGTATAATAAATTGTAATTATAAACAAGTAATAATTACCATTATCAATTAATAAATATTTTTATTATTAATTTCATTAGGTTCCAGTAATACATGATTTATTCAAAGTTCCAAAAGAAGTTGTAAAAAGCAAAATAGAAGATAAGATTGGCATTGGAAAAATGAGGCTAGTAGCCACAAAATTAAAGAAGCTTGAAGAAATCAAAGACCTATTTTTGCTATATGGAGAAGTTCACAATAGCATGAACCATTGCAACTTCATGAATGATGCAGAAATTTATCATCTTGGTAAGTATATTCATTAAAACCTTATATAATTATGGTTTAAACCTTGGTATACAGTTTAATATGGATTACAATTTGTCTTTTTATTTACAGAAACATACATTAAGAAATTTATGGTTTCATACAGAACAACTGGGATGTCAGTGACGCCAAAATTACATGTGCTTGAGCAGCATGTGATAGAACAAGTGAAAAAATGGCACTTTGGGCTTGGCCTACTTGGAGAACAGGGCGGGGAAGCAATTCATGCTGTGTTCAACAAACGAAGACGGTTTGTTAGTGGAATGCCTGACAAAGCCAAACAGAATTTGTCCATAATGAGGGCACACTTCACAACAACGATACCCGTTATACAAAATGAGGTTGAGCAGCCAAAGCGGAGAAAACGCGGTATGAATACCAGTTAACAGAGCACTGTACAATTAATTTATATTTTTTAGCATGTTATAGTACTGTAATCATATTTAATAAGCAAGTAAATTAAAATACAATTTTTTACACTTTACCTTTGTTTTTTACAGCAATCGCTGAAGAATAAACCAAGTGTCCAATGCTACAGTGTCAGTCACCAATGAAGTGAACCTGAAACAATTTGAATGTTGATTGATATATTTGTTGATATAAATCGTATATGCTATTTTAGCAAACAGTGATGGCATTTTGTGTGTTAACATTGTGATACAGTATTCTCCCAATTGACAAAATTTTACTGGTAAATTTGTCCGTAAAAATTCAGCAATGCACACAGTGTGAGGTGTTACCCCTTTTGAGTGACTTTCTTAAAATAACTTTTTTTAATAATGACTTGAAGAGCACCACATATATTCATAGCCTACTGTTGGCATAGATTGGAATGATGTTAATTCATTGAAAGAGGGCCTATCAGTATTTTTTTTAAATTTTACAAAACTCTAAATTTTTACTGGTTGGCCTGTTATTTTACTGGAAAAAATTGATGGCTAAAACGGCTTCGGGAGAACACTGTGATACATTTTTTTAACTGGTTGGGTAACTTTAAATATTAGCATAGTGCATATTGACAGTTTTCATTGGTTAATGCAGGGCCGCAACGACTCAGGGCCGAAACGACTTTACACCCGATCAACCTAATATAATGTGTACATTATTATTATGCCTACCAAGTGTTTCTAATTCAATGTTGTTGTCACCTGATGTTTGGTTCAACGACTGTCCAATCGCTGGCACTACAGATTTTGAATGTTGATGATCGTACAAAACTGAAATAAACAGATAAATGTTTTAACGTTATAAGGTGTCAGATTTTTTTTTTTACAACTACCTAACTAACAAGAGCAATTTGTAGTGTTCGAACAAATAATAACACATGTTTATTTTTATTAGATTTATCACATTAACCTACATCAAAAACTTGGGAAATAGGCCTAGGCCTTGATGCGGAAATTTTTTTTGCCCTATAAATAATTACGCCAACTTCTTTAAAAAAAAAAAAAAATGCAATTTTGTGACTTTTTTTAAAGAACAATGAAATTGAACCATTTTTTTACAATATTTACAAATAAATATTATTGCTAAATAAAAAACTTAATTTATTTTTTTTTTCATGTGCCTTAATCCCTAGCCTATGTATATTCAGTCTTTAGCACTAACCTCTATTATAATAAACTTGCTTATTTATGATGAGTCTGACTAGGCCTAGACTCCCCCCTTATACACATCTAGATGGCCTAGACTCCCCCCCCCCCAGTCTATACATGTCAATACGCCTTTTTCACGAATCGGTAGACATTTTGAAGTGATGACAAACATTGTGAATCAGCGGGTGCGTAACCAACAGAAATAAGATAAGCTTTTGGGCGGATTTTTTGACATGTTATTTAAAAAATCATAATTCTATAACGGGCTAGTGTCTGATCTATGGAACGCCAAAAGGACAAAATACAATTGGCAGCAGCGCAAAACTGAGAGTCAGCAGCGCAAAACTGAGAGTCAGCAGCGCAAAACTGAGAGTCACCAGTGCAAAACTGAGAGTCAGCAGTACAAAACTGAGAGTCACCAGTGCAAAACACAGAGTCACAGTGCAAAACTGAGTAGTGCAAAACACAGAGTCACTGGCAGTGCAAAACTGAGAGTCACAGTGCAAAACACAGAGTCAGCAGCGCAAAACTGAGAGTCAGCAGCGCAAAACTGAGAGTCAGCAGCGCAAAACTGAGAGTCAGCAGTGCAAAACTGAGAGTCACAGTGCAAAAGTAAGAGTCGCAGTGCAAAAGTGAGTCACAGTGCAGAACTGAGAGTCACAGTGCAAAAGTGAGAGTCACAGTGCAAAAGTGAGAGTCACAGTGCAGAACTGAGAGTCACAGTACAAAATTGAGAGTCAGTGCAAAACTGAGAGTCACAGTGCAAAACGTTGGTGACAATGCAAAACTCCAATGGCAGTGCAACTCAAATGGACGCCCTCTATTTTGAATTAAAGTTTCACAGCTTTTTTGGACGGTGTCAACAAGTAAAATGGATGAAATTTTGAGGTCACTTGGGCACTCCTTAGTGACCATTGACAATTTTGAAAGGGGGGGGGGTGTGCGTATAAGCGTACAATGTTACAATTAATACAAAAATAAAGTGTTTGAAATAATAAACGGTGGGTTATGGAGAAGGCTAGTAGTAGGTACATGTGCCCGGGCTTGTCAAAAAAACAAGGCATAAGTCTAGATATATACCTAAATGCCTCGACTTCGTCGGCTTCTCAAGAAACATTGTTTTCTTAAATAAATCTCACTTAACTGTCTAAATTTTCTGCTTTTTGTCATTTCTATTGTCTTTGTTGATCCCCAATTGGTTATCTTTTAAAAAAAATTTATTTTGATTGCGCCTTGTATATATCCCTTGGCAAAAGGCGCGGTACAAGTTGTATTATTAACTAGGCCAGGCCTAGCCTAGGCTTTAGGGCCTACCTAGACCTAGGCTAGGCCTGGAATCCGTCGCTGAAATTATAATGTATTCAGGTCCGTAGGCGGGGGGGGGGGTGCAGAGGCTGCGGACGCACTCTCCCCTCCCAAATTCCAAAATGTCTACTTTTTACTTTTTAAAACCTGATGGCCTATAGATAACATTATTCATATTATATGAACAATCACCGGATCCGATCAATTTCTAACAAATTTCATACCACATTATTAAAAATCAACAGTTAGATAAGCCGGCAAATATATAATGCAATGCATGCTATAGCAGGGACGTAGCCAGGATTTTGAAAAAGGGGGGGGGGGAGCCGTTATGCGAATTACGAAGGACCCCGCCGGGGTCAAGTGGGCGAATCCCCCTGTGAAGTAGCGCACTCTTAACATTCTTAGGACTGTTTGAGAGGATAAAGTGAAAATTGCAATAGACACATTATAAATAAGCGCAAAATAATGACATAACAAATCAACAGTGGCAGATGCAGGAATTCAAAAGAGAGGTGAACCAGGGAGGGACATTTACAGACTGAGGAACCACTCACCTCAGCCCCACCATGGTTGGGGCTGAGGTAAGAAAATTTATGATTAGGGCATCTCTAGACGGCCGGAAATTTTAGCGAAGTGTTGCTTTTTTGTACGTTCACTTCTTACATGTCATTTTAATTTAGCCATTGATCATCATAATAAAATCATTTAATTAACTTTGTTGTTACTATGGCGTTTATGATGTTAACAGTTGTTAAACCTTTTTTTTTTTCAAAGACGTGCACACTCATTCTGTATAAATTAGTATATTGTGGGCCTATCCACTGCAAGACTCTTAATTAAAAATCAACGTAACCATGGGGACGTGTACTTCTACTGTTATTTTCTCAATGAAACAAAACGTGTCGCTTATCCAACGTTGCCATAATGGGGGTGGGGGCAGCGTTATTACCAGACCAACTGTCCGAAAGACATTTCTGAAGGGAATTAGCCTGGATGAAAGTTCTTGACTTCTTACCAGAACACAGTCTTGTCCTTCGATGTGTTTTTAATCTGACATGTGCGCAAGTAGAACCAAAATGGGTATAGTAGCGCACAGTGATAAACTGCACAAAATAATAATAATAATTGATTTTTATCCTATAGGGGCCTACATTATCAATGCGTGCAACTAGAACCGAAATGGGTATAGTAGCGCACAGTGATGAACTGCACATCACTGAATTGAATTTTATTCTATACATTATCACTGTGCGCAACTAGATCCAAAATGTGTATAGTAGCGCACAGTGATTATCACTGTGCGCAACTGGAACCAAAATGGGTATAGTAGCGCACAGTGATTATCACTGTGCGCAACTGGAACCAAAATGGGTATTGTAGCGCACAGTGATTATCACTCTGCGCAACTAGAACCAAAATGGGTATAGTAGCGCACAGTGTTAAACAATTGATTCCCTAAGTTACTAGAAATCGTATATATCTGATTCTGGCAACCATTTCATTTACAAGATGGCCGAAAAGCGATCGGATGGGAGCCACTCGAGAGAGCTGCGGTAAAACCGAATTTTTCTTAATAATACACGCTGGATTTGTCATATAATAGTGTTAATCGTGTAGGTAAAGGAATGTTTTTGCATAATAATGAATATTTAAGGGAATTACAACTTGGAAGTTTGATTTTGAGGATGAGGTGAACTTATGCATTAGCGCCATTCAAAGTTTGTCTACATTGGTAGGTAGGGTAAGTGTCAGTCTCCAACATTATACCGTATGGTCGTGAATGTTGTACACAAGACCATAGCCCACGTGGGACGTACTACTAACCTGCTGGTGCTGCACACGTTTTTTACAAAAAAACGACATCATAATTTTTTTATATATAATTATTCAAGTGTTATATTAGACAAACCTACATGCCTTAGCCAATAAATAGTTGACGATTTCGAAATTCATGCTTTTCAAGTTTACAATAAAATTGGCGGCAAAAAATATATTTAAAAAATTGCAAAATTCCACCTACCTTCTCATATTATTTTCTACGCTTTTCAAAATGGATGGACTGAAAATCTGGACGACGACGGCGTGAACACGAGAACCTGTCTCTTATACACATCTAGATGTGTATAAGAGACAGAGCTAAGCCTTGTGATTGGGCAGTATTGTTTACAAAACAAAGCACCAACTTACTTCCGGGTCTGTAAACAGCGCCCGCTATAACAGCTGGAATACGATTTGTACGCAAACTGAAAACTGAGGGCGTGCTACTTTTTTTCTATAAATTGCACTGCATGAAACAGTGGTGATGTGGGCGCAATGGGTAGGCAGGATCGCCAAATAAACACAAAATGCTCCAATCTGCATCATGTGATCGGGCCTCCAGCTCAGTTAAAAGCCTTGATTCGCGCAGAAGGAATGCATCATGCCTTCTCCCTTAAGTTGGCCCGTAGAGGTGCGCTATAAGACCATTGGGGGCAGTCACTGACTGAAACTTCAGGGCGTGAATCCTTTTATGTCCATTATACATAACTTGTTGATGCTGATTCGGTCTACATATTGGCCGAACAGTTGGTCAGAGCGGCACCCTTTCTATATATTACATCAGCAAAGGTCTTCAGGCTATTTGGCGTTAACCAGGGCTGATTTAATGATGAGATGAGGTACTTATGACTGTCATAGATGAAGTTCGTCATCCACTTGACAGTCAAGCAGAGCTGAGGTACAGAACGCCCGTAGTTTTTTATCAGGTCTCCGTACCTACACGGATACGCATATCTCTGGAGAGTGATGCACAAGGCCTCAAGGCCATCTACTCTTGACTGATTTTCCAGTGTTACAGTCTGCGGCAACCCCAAAGCACGCTTCAGGCGATAGATGTCATCTTTCTTGAATCTGTGGAAAGAATATTGTGGTAACGAGAACGAGTGTAAAGATTGAGGGCGTAAGCGAGGTTCGAGGAGGAAGAGCAGAAATAATGTGGATATTAGAGTTGGCGACGAGGATGAACAATATTGTGAGTAAACCACATCCGTTTCTTGAGTCTCCAGGCACGCCCACCGTCCCGTGGAAAATAATATTTGAAAATTACTTGTTGGCCGCCGATTTGCAGGCAGGGTCCGCTGAACGCCGCAAGGCAATTTTGATAGCGTCGTTGGGTACTGAAGCCCTACGGATTTATTACACTGTTTTGAACAGTAAGGCCACATCCGTTGCTGGCAGAAGCAGATTGTGATAAAGACGAATATAAAGAAACTATGCAATTACTTGCTGATTATTTTGAACCCAAACTAAACGTTGTAGCGGAGAGGTACAAGGTTAGATGTCGATCCCATGAACCAGGTGAGACAGTTCAGGCGTTTTTTATGGCTCTTAAACATTTTGCAAATACGTGCCAGTTTGCTAATTTGCATGATGACATGATCTGTGATCAAATCGTAGAAAAAACAAACTCTACGAGAGTCAGGAAAAGATTATTGATGGAGAAAGAGCTAACCTTGACGAAAGCTATTCAGATTGCAGAGAGGGTCGAAGCAGCTGAGATGGAACGAAAAAACATGGAAGGGATAGCGGTAAAGGCCCCTGATGAACTCCATGCTGTATCGATACCAGTATGTGCACAAACGCAGGTGAGGAAGAGGTATAATAATGGACCTCCTGGTGGGGGACAAAGACGATATTTTCGATGCGGGTCTCAACGCCATTTGGCAAATTTTGCTGAATGTCCAGCGAAGAGCCAGGTGTGCCGTCAGTGTTTAAGGGTGGGCCACTTTCAGCGTATGTGCCATGAAGTTGGTGATAAAAACGTTATGTAGTGTTTTGCGGGGGAAGTTGATGGTCAGTGCAATAGGAAGCCAAATATTTCAGTGACTGTTCGTGTCAATAATGTGAATCTACCTTTTGTTGTTGACACAGCATCAGATGTGTCCCTGTTAAGCATGAAACTGTTTCAGAGACATTTTGTAAAAGAAGCTCTGTGCCCAAGTAGAGTTAATTTGTTAACATATACAGGGCAAAAATTTAACACATTAGTTAAGTACAAGTCAAAATCAGCTACAGTTTTTAGTAGTAGATCAGGGGTGTTCTATTTTGGGCAAAGATTTGATTCAAATGCTGGGGTTAACGATTGATGGGTCGACTATGTCATGTTTGTCAATGGGAGTGGATAAGTGTGAGGGTAAGGATACCAAAATGGATTGGGTAAAGGCTGAGTTTCCTTA